AGTGGAGAGGACATGTTTTGAGAATGATGAGGGCAATGAATGTACAAATGTGCTTTACACAATTGATGTATGTGTGGATTGTGATGAGTTGTATGAGCCCCTAATAAAATGATTTAAAAAAAGAGGAACTATTTCACAACAACAACAAAAAATTTATAAATTCTCAGGGGTTCATGGCGGAGGGGGGAGCATGGAGGGAGGGGGGGGAAATAAGGAGCTGATACCATGGGCTCAAGTGGAAAGCAAGTGTTTTGAGAATGATGAGGGAAACAAATGCACAAGAGTGCTTGATACAATGGATGTATGTGTGGTTTGTGCTAAGAGTTGTACAAGCCCCCAATTAAATTATTTAATTATTTTTTTAAAAAAGAACATCATACATGAAAAACGAAAAATGTCCTTAAAGAGACAAGAACAAAAGAAAAGACCAACGTGGATGTCAGAAGAGACTGTGAAACTTGCTCTTGATATAGAGTAGCTAAACAAATGGAGAAAATGACTTTTTTTACATATCCCTTTTATCTTGCTCCAGAGTCTTTTCAATTTACATATCATTACATTATAACTCATTGGTTTTTCTCAGGCAGATCTATTTCCTCATGACTTAAGGATAAGTAACACAGTACAATAGCAGGTAATTTATTTTCAAGTTGATATAATTTCTTGTATTACTTACCCTTTTGGAGTATCAATACCTGAGGATACAAGTGTTGTCTTTAAACTATCAACTGCTGTGAAACATTGGGTTCTTCACTGGTTCTTTTGTATGTAATATCCACTTCTTTTTCATAGCAATGACTTTTATAGTTTTATTTGGGCAATTTCAAAATGTTAAAAACCAGAGAACAAGTCACCCAGATATAGTGTACTTTCCTAAGCTTCATGGAATGTATTTTATTCCTAGCCAGTTTTCTTAAACCATATCTCAGAATATCAAAGCTCACTTGTTCTATTCTGTCCATATTTTCATTCAGCTGACTGTATCTGAGTGACCCCTAGTTGTCTTTTATAAACTCTGATACACTTAAATCTGGCTGTGAAAATATCACTTGTGATATTTCTAGGGAATCTGGATTCCTACCTTAAATTTAATAGAGAAAAGCGTTATAACATTTGATACATTTCTACATTCATTTTGTGACAAACCATACATGCCCTACAGGAAAAGAGATACCCCCCCAACTTCCATGGAAGGCCTGATGTAAAATGTTTTCTCTCGGTAGGAATGTAAGAGTTGACCTAGAATTAGAGAAAAACTGATATGTGATTAACTGCCAAATACCGTATATACTCATGTATAAGCTGAGCTTTTCGCACATTTTAAATGCAGTTTTTGTGGTAAAATTAGGTGCCTGGGCTGATATTCTGTTCAGCTTATACTCGAGAAGATACGGCACTTGATGCAAAATAAGTAGTCTATACTTAAAAAGTTATACTTTGTATAACACACACATATAATTATTTAATTTATTTCCTAACAGCAGGTTTTTGCCTAGATTTTCTTGCTTTTTGTTGTTTTGTTTTGAATTGTAGGTATTCTTCCTGAATTTTCTAGGACCGATCTAATTTCACAGTTTTATCCCACTGTTCTATAAGTACTTTTGTTTATCTTTGACTTGGCATCACTGAAGAAAACAGAATTACCATTAGCATGAGACAAGTCCAGGGATAGCCACAAGCATACTCATTGTACGAGCAAATGCAAACAGACTCAGTTCATGTGCTGGACTCTAGGAGGCACTGGAACAAGTCCCTACCCTCAGTACTCTTCTCAGACAGACGTGACTTCCCGTGGAAGCACATTGCACTACCTACTGGATGAAAGTAGACGTGTAGAGGTGAACATTATCAGTGCTCCTGACTTTATTTGAAGCCTGTTCGGAAAACACCAAACCTTAAAACTACATATTCGGTATCATCCTGGTAGAACTCTCTGAAAGGTGTTTCAAATTCTTTGCTGATTATGATTTTTTTAATGCAATGTAAGTAATATTTCTAGTGTGCAGAGTAGACATTTTGTGTTTTTGTATATTTATGTTTTTTGGGGAAAATGACAAAGGACTTGCTGAAAGATTTTCTTTTTTGTTTATTTCTTTTCTCGGATTTCAGAAATGAAAGGCTAGCCTTGAGTGCTTTATACTTTTTTCTGTATGTATTTTTTCCTAGAATTTTTCAGGTAGATATGGTTAATCTTTATATTGTGTTCATAGTTCTTTTTTTTTAAGTCATTTTATTAGGGGCTCATACAACTCTTATCACAGTCCATACATACATCAATTGTGTAAAGCGCATTTGTACATTCATTGCCCTCATCATTCTCAAAACATTTCCTCTCCACTTAAGTTCATAGTTCTTAGAAACAAAAACTGTACCACTATCTTGGATGAATGTTTTCCTTCTTTGATTTGAAGACACAGATTACATTATTTTTAGTTATAAAAGAAGCATAGGTGTATTTCTTAGATAAATTGTTATTTGTTATCTCTAATTCTGGGTCTCTGTCTTTTCATTTACAGATATCATGATAGAGGAAACCAGTTTTGGGAAAAGTTATGCACTACTGAATTTCGAGAACTTTATGCTCTAGGCAGTGTTCACAATGACCTCTATGTTATCGGAGGACAGATGAAAATCAAGAACCAGTATCTTATTACAAACTGTGTTGACAAGTACTCTGTAGAACGGGACAGTTGGAAAAGGGTGTCTCCCCTTCCACTACAGTTGGCATGCCATGCTGTGGTAACAGTGAATAATAAACTTTACGTGATTGGCGGCTGGACCCCTCAGGTGAAGGCATTTCCTAATTGGCATGGCTCTGTTGAGTTTGGCTGCTATTTCGAAACTTGTAGCTGTTTAATCCTGAAAGAGTATGACTTATATTGTTAGTAAAGCACTTTGTTTCCTGAAACCTACTTAAGGTTTTAATGTGTTAGTGCAATTTAGGAGAATGAATTTTAAAGTGTGTTATTCATAGACACACTTCATTCAGTATTCATGCTGTGCGCTTCATAATTCTTCCCATTTTTGTTAATCAGTAAAGATTCTTGTGCTTCGGAACTGTCTATAGAGAACCTCTAAGTAGGGAGGCAGGGAGGCTGAAAGCTCAGTTCAGTTCAGTCTGCTTAATAGCTGTGTGACCTGGATCAAGCAACTCTTGTATCTCTTCCACATTTAATTTTTTAATTCTAAGTGGGGCCCCATACTACCAACCCAATAATGGCACAATCATGTACATCGAAGTACATTGTAATTTTAAACACTTCATGTCCTTGCTGGACACTAGCAAATATAGAAAACAAAATACTGTGTATTATCGGAGGCCATCAAAGTGATGACAGGCGATGGAAAGGCACATGGAAGCTCATCACAGGCTGCCTTCTGCGGTCTTGTCTCTCTGGGTGCCCGTCCCAGGGACGTGTGGCCATCCCAGTGGCCTTCTGCCCTGGACATAAGCCTCCCTAACAAAACTCAGCCTTACTAGCTCACTGTCTATCCCCATAAAGTCAAGTAAATTCATTTGTGTGTATGTAGTTTGTTTCTCCAGATGCGCTTCATAATAAAACATACTTTTGCCCTCATTTCATAAGCTTGGATTTTTGCCCTTGATAGGAAAACTTACACTATAAAAACTTACACTTTACATTTAACACATTGCATTTGTACTATGCATGAAAACGTATTGCAGATTTCATCACGGCTAATAACTGAAAGCTGAAAAATGATTTGTAAAGCTCTTTCAACACTATCTTTTTGCATGAATAAACTCCAGAGACATTTTAGAAGCCTTTCTCTCATGAAAATAGGTCAGATACTTAAGTTAGAAGGAAATTTAAAATATTAAAGCCAATAGTTGTACATTTATATGTCCTTAAGCAGATGATACATGCAGGCTTATTGCATAAAAAGGCATCTAGTTTGTTTTAATACCTAATAAAGTAAATTAGGTTACAAGATAGCTTGGGGTTGTGTTTGTACCCTAGTGCTCATTACTTGATATATTTAAAGTCATAAACAAAAATTAACTGCATGCAATTTTTATTAACAACAGCGCCATTGAATGGATTCCAATTTACAGTGCCCTTAATTGGGGCTTTCAAAACTGTAAAGCTCTAGAGGAACAGATAGCCTCATCTTTCTCTCATGGAGCAAAGAGTAGGTTTGAACTGCTAACCTTGGAGTTAGCAGCCCAACACTTGCTATCCCACAGATCTACCAGGTCCTCTTCGTTTGTTATTTATGTAATTATTTATTTATTGTACCTACCTCCAAAATAATCTTAAGAGACACTTTAAAATCCTTAATATGTTATCATATTAAGTTCCTGACATGTTGTGTATCCAAAAAAAAAAATCTGTCACTGGAAGTTTATGAGTAGAAGAAGCCACTGAAGCTGTGTGGAAATGAACAGTTTTCAATTTGTATTGTCTATAGTTATACAAATACATGTAAGAAAGGTAACCGTAGAAATAGTTGAAAATTCTTTAGATTCACATATGTATATCTTGAAATTTTCAGTTAAACCATTCTTAAATTATGTATTCAGCTTTAAAAATTCAAAATTCAATTCAGAATTTTGATATAAAATTCCCTAATTACTAAAACACTAAAGTTTTAGCAAAATACCTTATAGAGTATTAAAAATAGTTTCTAAAAATTATTAATAGTCATAACTTTTGGTCAAATGGAATTATACTTTTTTTTAAAATCTAAAGAGCTTTGCTGCATTCTTAAAGGTTTGTGATTGTTTAGTATTATTACTTTTAAAGCTCTGTTGTCTCACTGCTAAGATCACAGATTATTTGCTATCATCCAGGATCTCAGCTTTGATGTTATAGAATATCAATTTCTCTAATATTAATTTTAAGTTTTGGGGTGCAGTGTGTTTGTGAGGATGAGTCAGGTCAGTCAACTCCTGTTTACTTCCTTAGCTATCTGCTTTGATTGATTATATTCGTGTACTCACAAAGGCCTCTAAGTGTTATGTTATAGTAGCTCTCATATTTCATACAGATGGATCTTCCTGACGAGGAACCTGATCGGTTAAGCAACAAAGTGTTTCAGTATGACCCCAGCCAAGACCAATGGAAAGAGCGGGCACCCATGAAGCATGCAAAGTACCGATTCAGTACAGCTGTAGTCAACAGTGAGATTTATGTTTTGGGTAAGAAGTAGATTGCCAACCAAAAATATGACTACTTTTTTATGTTCCTCAGCAGCTTGCCCTAGTAAAAATGAAAGTCTCTTTTACAGCCGATTTCAAATGCACATATAGATAGTAAAAAGAAAAAATTATTCCTAGATTAAATGAGAATCCATTGACTTATGGAAAGCCAAATTATTTTTATGGCATTTCAAATGCCTTGAAAGGCAAGAACAGTAGTAATGCACCCTCATCTACACTCCTAAGTTGAATGCTTTGAAGTGGTATTAAGCCTTTGGCCACAGGGAGTCGATTGTCATTGTGAGCCTTTGCAATCGAGGAAGCCTTTCTGAGAAAGCCACCAGACAGCAGACCATTCCCCGTTATGTCAGTCCTCTTCAGTCCGCCTCCCCCAACACATTTCCGTAGAGCTGTTTCCAAATCACCTGCATGTGCTGCTTTCTTATCTTTCAATATGGTCAGTCTTGAACAAGTCTCGATCAACAAGATGACCCCCGAAAGTAGGTAGGACGACTCAGAACCTCTCCTGTACCGCTCCTGTTCTTCCTCAGCCCGTGTGCCTTCCTCATTGATGAAGTCCTTTGCTCATCTCAAAGGAGCCCGGTGGCAAAGTAGTGAAGCGCCCGGTGGCTAACCAAAAAGTCGGAGCAATTCAAAGCCACCAGTTAATGAACTTTGCAGAGCAATTAGTGTTCCATTCACCAGTTCATAAACATTTTATTTCATGACCTTGACTGTACGTCCTCCAACGTAACAGCAACCATGCCCCTTTCTGCCTGTGTCTCCTACTTCCGTCCTATCACTTAGTAGACTTTTATTTTTGATGGCACATTATGAGTGCTGTTAGTTGCCATCTGTTGATTCTGCCTTACAGAACCTCAGTGTGCCCAATAGAATTGCTTTTCAAGGACGCGGTCACCACCCCTGTCTTCCGAGGAACTTCTCGAAGAGTTCCCCTTTCAACCACTGAACTGTGTATGCCACTTTACTTATTCCTAATAGAAAATAAATACCAAAGATAGAAGTCTATACTCAGTTAAAATATTTTTCAGTATCAAAGATGAAATGACATTTTCAGACAGAGCAAAACTGAGAGCTCTTGACCACCGTCAAAAGCATTTTAAGTTATGTTTTTCAAACAAGAAAAGTCATCCTAGGTTGAAGGTCTGAGACGTAAGCTGAAATAAAAAGCAAAGAAAATGGTAAACAGATGGGTAAGTATTGTCATTTAATATTTAAATGTTTAATTATGTTTTAATATAAATTATGTATTAAATGCTCACGTATAAACCGTCATAATAATGACAATGATGACATAATACTTTTTTTAATTTCAAGTACTATTCAACTTTATTTTTGTTTTTTATCTGATGTATAGAAACAATTCTATGTAAAGTCAAGTTTTAAATTGAGCAAACTGAGTTACATGTAGATTAAGGAATTTTTGATGAAACCATGAGCAACTGTGTGATCAGAGTTGAAAGAACTCTTCTCACTGCTTTGATTTACCAAAGATACACACACACACACACACACACACACGCACGCACACATATACACACACACTAGCCAATGGCTAGTAAATGTTTATTCTTTTACGGAAAACAAACAATATCTGCTGTTGTTACATGCTTTCAAATTGGCTTCAATTCATAGGGACCCTATCTCCAACGGAACGAAGTGCCACTGCCCATTCCTACATCTGACTCACAGTTGTTCTTCTGTTTGAGCTCACTCTTGCAGCCACTGTGTCAATCCATCTTGTTGCGGGCTTTCCTCGTTTCCACTGCTAAATATCTATTACATTATGCACTGCCAACTTACAATCCCTTTTTCAAGTCCACCCAATTGAAATAAAAGCACTATTACAAAAGATAAGACTTCCTAGAGGATGACTGCATCATTGTTTCTTTTTTTAAAATTTAAATCATTTTATTAGGGGCTCATACAACTCTTATCACAGTCCATACACACATCAATTGTGTAAAGCGCATTTGTACATTCATTGCCCTCATCGTTCTCAAAACATTTCCTCTCCACTTAAACCCCCAGTATTAGGTCCTCTTTTTTCCCCTCCCTCCCTCCTCGCCCCTCCCTCATGAGCCCTTGATAGTTTATAAATTGTTATTTTGTCATATCTTGCCCTGGATGACATAGTACTTAAAAATAGAACTAAAATTCACAGTTGTAGTAAACATGTCAGGAGAGAAGTGAATGCAATTAAAGTATTCCCAAACCCTTGTATTGTCTAGGAGAAGAGTGAAGGAGGTGATTAAATTTTGCCTTTTCAAAAGTTAAGTGCAAAAAAGTGTCAATTCGGGAGAGAGAAGCTATTGAAATGCAAGCTGATGTTGGGTGCACAGAGTCAGTTCTGATGAATGAAATACTGCCCAGTCTTCAAAATTGTTCTTCTGCTTTAGCCCCATGTTGCAGCCACTCTGTCAATCAATCCATCTCCTTGAGGGCGTCCTCTCCCTTGCTGACCCTCTGCTTTCCCGAACAGGATGTCCTTCTCCAGGGAGTGGTCTCCCCGACACGATGTCCTTCTCCAGGGAGTGGTCTCCCCGACACTATGTCCAAAGTGTGTGAGACAAGTCATCACAGTCCTCTTGAAGGAGCACCCAGGCTGTGCTTCTTCTAAGATAGACCGCTTTGTCCTCTTGGCAGTCCGTGGTCCTTACGATATGTTTCTCCAGCACCACAATTCAAATGCACCATTCTCCTTCTGTCTTCCTTATTCAATATCCAACCTTCACATACATATGAGGTGATTGAAAATACTGTGGGTTGGCCAGGCACATCTTAATCTACAAAGTAACTTCTTACTTTTCAATATTCTAAAGAAGTCTTGTACAGCAGATTTACCCGATGCAGTGTGTATTTTGATCCCTTGCGGGCTGATCCCAGGAGCATTGATTGTGGATCCAAGCAAGATGAAATCCTTGACAACTTTCATGTCTCCTATATTTATCATGAAGCTCCCTATCAATCCACTAGTGAGGGTTCAGGTCTTCTTTGTAGTGCTTTGTAATCCACCCTGAAGGCTGCAATCTTTGATCTTCATCAAGTGCTTCAAGTCTTCTTGACTTTCAGCAAGCAAGGTTTTGTTATGTGTCTATTGCAGGTGGTTAATAAACGTTCCTTTCACTTTGATGCCATATTCTTCTTCATATAACCCAGTTTCTCCAACTATTTTCTCAGCATACGAAATGAATAAGTATGTTGAGAGGATACAACCCTACTGCACATCATTCCTGATTCTAAACCATTCAGTATTGTCTTGTTCTGTTCACACAACTGCCTCTTGATCCATGCTCATGTGCTCCACATAAATATTCTAGAATTCCCCTTGTTATCAAGGATTTCAATAGCTTTTTATGATCCACATAATCGAATGCCTTTGCATAGTCAATAAAACACGAGGGAACAGCTCTCTGGTAGTCTTTGCTTTCAGCCAGGATCTAGCTGTCATCAGCAATGATATCCATTATTCCACATCCTCTTCTGAATTGTACTGCTGCAACTGTTGTTGGATGATCTTCAGCAAAATTTTACTAGAATATGACATCAATGATATTGTTCTATAATTTGAGTATGATGTTGGGTCATCTTTCTTTGGAATTGGTGCAAATATGGATCTCTTCCAATCAGTTGGCCAAGTAGCTGTCTTCCAAATTTCCTGACATAAATGAGTAAGTACTTCCAGGGCTTCATCAGCTTGTTGAATCATTCATTACATTTGGTATTCCAACAATTCCTGGGACCTTGTTTTTGGCTAATACTTTCAGTGCTGTTTGAACATCTTCCTTCAGCACTATTGGATTTTGCTCATATGCTGCCTCCTGAAATAATGGAATGTGGACTAGGTTTTTTTGGGGGGGTTTTTTGTACAGTGACTGTATATTCTTTTCATATTATCTTGATGCTTTCTGTATCATTCAATATTTTGTCCATAGGCTTTTTTCAACAATGCAACTTGAGACTTTAAATTTTTCTTGAATTTTTTTCAGTTTAAGATATGCCGAGGGTGTTCTGTACTTCATCCTGCATCTCCCTTGAATAAAACTATAACATATGGACATACTACAGGGATTATTTAATAAAGAATAATAAAGAATATTTAAATATTAAAAGTAAACAGAAATAGGTGGATCGACAAAGATCACCAGATCATAAGTAGCACCAAGCAAGCAGTAAGCTCACTACCTTTTTTCTGGTGTCCCCCTGGCCTGAACTCAATGCAGTGCCAAACCCAGAAAGTGACAATCTGTACATACAGAGTTTCAAAAGCAGTCATCTAACTTTGGCTTGTGTTGCTGCAAAAGAAGCTTGATTATTGGAGGGAATGTGGACATCCCCTTCTCATTTCTCTCTTTTCTTATATCGCATCCGCTATGCCCTTCCACAGTAACGATGATCTGCAATCCCCAAAACGTTGAGAGGAGAAACTTGCTCTACTTTCAGTGAACTTGCGCTCCTCTCAGTGAAGGTTCAGTTTCCAAGAAGTTGGGTCAGCGTGCATTGCTTTCTTCTCTCTGTGTCGTCCTGCCTTTTAAGCCAAGACAAGAGTCCGAATGGAAATGTGTGACAGAACAGGCTAATTAGATCCCCAAGGCTTTGGGTAGAGAATCAAAAAGAAGGACTGCTGGGAACAGAGAAGTACAAGGGAGTGCAGAGAGGGAGAAACTCAGGAAGGCCACCCATAGTGTTTTTGTTTTTATGCTCACCAGTTCTAATTCCAAGCGGCTCATGGATCTGACCCTACTATACAGACTTGGAAACCCACAGGGGCAATTCTATCATGTCCTAAAAGGTGGCCATGAGTCCAAATTGAATCAATGGCAGTACATTTGGTGCTTTAACTGGTTAGTGGGAGGTTTAGGAACTTGAGAGCCTGGAACATTCAACTTCCACAGGGAGACGTTCAGGCATGAGGGATAAGGAGGCCCAGTTACTTACTATAGTTTATAAATATCCTGTGTTAACCTTATATGTACAAA